TTTCTTAATATTCAGAATATTAATTGAATTAAATATCGTTTATACTACTTTTGGAAATGTTTATTAAAAAGTCAAACATACTATGCATGTTAATGAACATATTAAACGTTTCCTTACAGGGAAACATTTGGCGTTCATTGACTGAACAGCCAGTACTACTATTACTACTTATTTAGAGTAGTGTGGAATTCATTGTGTCATTATTTTCTCTTTGATTTATACGTGCTATGCATTTTTGTTGTTGCTGCTGTTGATAGTCCACAACTGAGGTGGTTTCTGTTTTTGATGGAGGTCTTTGTTTTTGATTGTGTAGCGCGAGTTCACAATCTTCAAAGAAGAATGATCACAAACAAACAAACAAAATAATATGCATTACCATCGGAATCCTGCATAGAAAAAAATTGAATTATATATATATATATATATATATATATATATATATGAATTATGCACACGAAGATGGCAAGATAGATGCAAGTGAGGTCGGCTTCACCAATGAAAAATAAAGACAAAAATTATAAGTAGCAGAAAGTGTTTTTCGTTCATGTTCCATTCTCTGATAAAGCTTTAATAAATGAAAAAAAACATGGTAAATTTATAAACGTTTCCTATTTGGTCCTAATTCTATCTTACATGGAATCATATTATGGAGGTAGTATATATATATATATATATATATAATTCGTAGGTGAAAATGATCATTTACTAAAGGTATCTTAATTCCAATTGTAAAGAAAATTTGTTCTGTTGAATGAAAATAAACATTTTGTGAGTCAGTTTTAACATATTTCAAATTCTATGCTGTGTTAATAGGACTCGCCTGGATTATACCACCGGATTACTATATATATATATATATATATTATAATTTCTTTTATACACACAAACACACACACACAGACACACAGACAGACACACACACATATATATATATATCTGAGAAATTTTAAAGTAGGTGAATAAGATGCTTGAAATACAGTAGCCTATAGTGAAAAATGTACGAGGAACAATAGAGTATGTGACCTCTTCTCTTTGAGAATGACTTGTATAAATTGTATGCTAAGACTACTTTGCCTGCTATTAAATTTATCAAGCGACAAATGAAAAATTATTTGGCGGAATTCAACATTTGGTTTACCACCTCTAATGATTTTAATGGCGTTGCAAACCAGTAAATATTTTATTATGCAACTCCATAATATCGAAATGTTTTGTTAACGTAAATTTACATTGCATTGTGCACCTGAGGTAGTCAACAATTTAATTCCATTAGTGATAAGAAATTGCTGATTGAAGTTATATATGCGGGCATATACGGACACCCAAATGCACGGCCATTAGAAATATATGTGCTCGTGTGTGATGTTCTGCTTCCAAGTTAAATGTATATGTGTAGCTGGCAACTCGTATTCGATGATACCCGGTCTATCAAGGCGGCTAGCCAATCCCTATTGCAGACGCTCGCTCAGGCACATTTGTGGTTGTTCAACACCCACAGAGCCCGCCTGTGGTTTATACTGCAACCGTGCTGAGCAGACCTTAGTTACAGTTTCTGGGAAAGAGCAAGTTATCTAGCGGGATCAACAATTTGAATAAGGCCAGCACGCTCAAGCCCTCGGCTATGATGACTTGTGTTTTCGTGCTTGCATAGTTATCAACGACACCCAACGGTTCCGTGTACCCAATTTTCAGTCACAATGTACCGCACTTTGCAAAGGTGCCGCACGCTGGGATCGATCCCCACAATCCAATAACGTCATGAAGTCTCCTTTCTGAAAAATCGACCATGGTGAGATTCGAACGATCTAACCACTCGGCCACCTGCCCATTTAGTTAAGTTTACATAGTTGAATATATCTGAATAATTTATTTGTTGCTCCTTTTATTAATTACTGCTTACCATCTTTCTTATTCATTGTATAACTCACTCACCCCTGGAACCGAATATTCATTTACCATGTCTATTAAACCATGTTTACTATGTCTATTAAAAATAATTTCGCATATATCCAGTGTGAACATAAAGCATTTCCCTGATTTCAAACAAATAGACACACTTTTGAAACTCTTGACTGCGGTGAAACTTGCACAGAAAAAAGAATTATTTTAACCGCTCTACATAATGCCACAAAAATCATATTTTTATCAGTCAAAATGTTTTAAGACATTATAGTACATGATGACTCATTCTCTATCATTATAATCAGTTTGTGTAAGACGTAAACCTCATGAAAATATCATATAAATTTCTTGTCGAAGTCATCCAATGCTTTTTTTTTAAATAAAATCACAAAACTGGGAAGGAATTTCAAATAAACAATACGAATTAATTTTGCAATGAATAGTTTCGTAAAGTAAATTAATGTAAATAGAGGATAGAATTTATGTGTGTTTACTACACCTATATATAGAGGCGTGAACGTAAGTACATGTTTTTTTTTGTTATTTTTTCTTTGAGTCTCGTTTGATTAAGAGTATAATTTTAGACTTATATATATATATATATATATATATATATATATATATATATATATATATATATATAATAGTAAGAATAATGAATATTTTTTTTTTGTTTGAAACAGTAATATAAGCAGTAAATAAGGTTTAGTTAACGGGTTATGGGATTAGTATTTAATACGTAGAAACATTGGATTAAACTATGCAAGAACAAATCCAGCTTATCGCGTTATAGATTCTGGGGTACATAGCTCGAAACAAAACCGGATGGAGCAAAAAGACAACACTGTGTAGGAGGGAAGCGTGAAAAGCCTTTATTTCATTGGCTGGCATTGATTGACGTATGCCAATAACAATGGTCGGACTTCTAGCCTTATCTGAAGTTTTCTTCGGACTGTGGAGGTGCGTAGCACGACGCTATCAAAGAGGCGGTCTGACCCTTCTGGAATCAGGTCGGGGTTGCTGTTTGAGCCGATACGATGCAAAAACCCGAAATCGGCGATGAGGACAATGCATCACTAAAGAACACCCTTGATGCATCTGAAATGTATTTGCAACTATAGAGAGCAAATGTGAATATCCCAATATTTAACGTTCATATTTATTTTCTAATTGTATTATTGTCACCATCTTGGCAAAATTTCCAGGTAATATTTGAAGCGTTAGTAGAATCATTGTTGTAATCAATGCAGGTGGACATTTAAACGTCTTCATTTACATCTCTATTCAAACACTTACCTCGAAAATATTGCATATTTACTGGAATATAGGTAGTTATTGCTTCAAATGAAACAATTGCGGATAAATGTTTTTCGAAGCGCAACTTAGATTTAGTAAAAAGCACGGGGTACCGAATGAGGATTGAAATCACTACTCACTTGTAATGGTTTTAGAAAGGCAAGCTTGCTAACAATTACACCACGTCGAGGTGCCCTTCTTTTCTAAGCGTAGCATAGATATGGCACAAGGCCGAAAGCATGGGGCACCTCGTGAGGATCGAACTCGCTTTTTAGTCGTAACTGATCTAGCGCGACAAGCTAACCATTACACCACGGGGTGGCTCATATTTACTGGAATATATGCGAGTTTTATGATGTCAGAGAACACTCATTGCCACTTTTGTAATGCCAACGAATACTCCTTGTCACTTTTGTAATGATCGTTCCAGTAGAGACTTTGTAGTCTCAGATACAACTTTAGTAACGCCGTTTAACAATACTGGTGTCAGACGCCTTCGAATAGCACTCGTACTAATAGTACTGGTTCGATAATACTCGCTCGAAAAGTAACCACGGAATAGTGATCCGAATAGTAATCCGTATATGATACCGTAGACGCCATGCTAATTCTCACATATACATTTCATTTATCATTCCGTGATCTACCTATTCATAATAGTATTGTCTGTGTTTCCTCTCTGGTGATCTGTGTTCAAACTCCAGTGTCGGCAGCAATACTTTATTCTTATATAACAGCAAGAAAATATTCTATAAAATTGAAGAATATTTTTTATTAAACATATATTCTTTAATAATCTTTTGAAGATTAAAGTTTTTCGTAAAATATTTCTTTAAACTTAAACTGATAGGATTTTAAGTTTAAAATCAAGCGTCTTAATCGAATTAAATTAAGTTTAATTTTACATTTAGCCTTTTTGTACAATTATCATAAATTATTATTTTTATTATATCCGTTGTTTTTTCTGAAATATTCTTTTTCTGTATATCATTATATTCTGAATGTCCCATTTCCTGATGAGCTTAGGGTACCTCTATTGCAAATGCTCGTTGGCTGTATCTTACATTGTTATTAAAAATTTTTTAAGCATTTCTCCATAAGCAAGGGTGGGGGTTCCACTAGCACGCCTCTGGTTACAGAGGCATGTTTGGGAAGATCACAAAGAGAAGAACGGGGAACAAGATCAAGGTATCAGAAGATGTCGATTGACATTACACTTGAATATTTGAAGATGATAGTTATTAGGAAAGCAAGTAAGAGGAAGATAATTTCACAGGTGGGAAGTGCAAGAGAATAAGCTGTTTAAGTAGAAGCGACAGTTACATTTAACCGTTTCGACAGCGAAAGGGTGGGACCGAGATGCCAACCTAGTAGCTCGCTTAAATTCATGCACAGGAACCAGAGAAAGCAACTCGTCGGAACAGTTGTCGTGAAAATCCTTATAGAAGAGACAGATAGACGCCACGGTACGTCTGTAAGAAAGCGACTGTAGACTGCCATATCAGGACCTATAACATTGCATATCTGTCCTGGATTTTGTGGGGGACCTCGAGACTTATAGCGAGGTTACCAGACCATATATGACAGTAATTGTGGTGGTTTGTAACTTTGTCGCGCAAATGAATTTGCTAGTTTATAGAGTTTGATTCTTATTGGGTTGGATAATTAAGACTCTTTAAAAATTAAACTAAGCTAAGTTTAATGAATATTTGCTGAAAACGTAGGTCTATGAACAATCTAGGTGTATCGAGATTATGGAGATTTGCTTGCGTGAAGAGCGCGCACTAACACGTGCAATGATTCTAAATTGGTAGGTAGGTACGTGGATGGAAGCAATGAAAACCAGAAATATCTGGAGAGCAGAAATAAAGAAAATATGAGAGATCTAGATAGAAGAAAAAAAACTATTGGAAAACAGAGAAAAGAGAGAATGAAGAAGATAATGAAAAATAAAAGAAAGAGAGAAAGAAAAAGAGAAAGAAAGATAGCAAAAAGAGGAATCAATAAGGGAAGTTAATAAAAACAAATTTATGTAGAGAGAAGAAATATACATCATGAGAGATAGAAAAAAAAGTGATAGCTGAAGAGAAAACAATTAAGAAAGAAAGAAAGAAAGAAAGAGTGATATCGAAAGAAGAAACAAAAAGTCTAGAAAAAGGAACGAATATGGCTAAAAAAGAAACAGATATTTGGAAAGAAAGAAAGAAAAAAAGAAAGAAAGAAATGAAATAAAGTAGAAACAAAAATGGCGGTTACTGAACACAGCGATATTTAGAGAGACGAAAGATACAACAAGCGAGATGGAAAAAAAGAAGATAAACAAAGAAACAGACAGCTGATGAGAGAAAGATTAAAAAAAAAGGACAAATTAAGAAAGGCAGAAAGAAAGAATATTGCATTATCAGAAACTGGAGAAAAGGTGACCAAATCGGCGCAGGTTATTTGCCCAACCCAAGCAGGTCAGATCTTGAGCGAGCCTCATCTCAGCGCTAGGAGCTCTTTAGATTGAATTTATGACCAGGCTGAACCCTTCAATTCAATTTGTAGTCACATCCGGACTCGTCTGGGAAGGTCTCGTGTCTTATTGAGCACCTAGGGACATTGGATCAAGTGGAAATAATGAAAGGCAATACACGGTAAGATTAGAGTTGTTGATTGGCCAGTGAATAGAGCCAGTCTCAAGTTGATGCGTTACGCGCGAATTGCATTGGTTTATATGTTTATTCATTTTACTTTGCATTGTAACAGATTACGCAGTCCATTCTCATATCACCAATAAATTGATGTGATTCAAATGAATTCAATTATTTTTGTCATACCTACCGTATATATATATATATATATATATATATATATATATATATATATATATATATATATATATATTCACACGCCTGTGTATGTTATATTCTGTGTACGCTCGTCTATTGTTGGTCGGTTTCAAAGAAAGAAAATGTACAGTAAAGAGGACAAAAGCAGCAGCAGCCTTTTTATGCTTAGATCCATGTCTGAAATGAACGTGTCTCACGTGCAATAGATTTTAATGTTACGTCGCAAAAATGGTCTTACTGTTTAAAAAACATTTTCCGACATACGAAAATTGATTGAGATAATTGATGGTTGGGAACTTTCTTTTGATGTAAAGGGTCTCCTGAATTTGTAATCTTTTTTTTTATAGTTGCAGATTATTGTTTTTATTTGCGATCAAAGCTTCATGGAAATTAGAAATGATGTCCTGCATTTGTATTAACTCTTTAAATATGATGCCTTTCCCGGAGGAATGAAAACGCAAGCTTATCGAACGCAATCTTGTTCAATAGTCTCTATATAATTTGATTTTATTATTGGGAGTGATACATCCTCAGAAAAGACATGTGAATTCTTTTGCAAAATTTTGATTTTGTGGTGAACCGTCTTCTTTAACCACATGAAATGAATTTGTTGCCGTATATGTAACGTTATTATTGCCTTTTATGTAACGTAATCATTGCCGTATATGTAACGATATTGTTGTATATGTATCATTATTTGCCGTATATGTAAGGTTATCAAGGCCGTATATGTATTTTCCTTTGCTCTATATGTAACATCATATCTATTTTTTATGTAACGTTATCATTGTCGTATATGTAATATTATTCGCCGTACGTCTAACGTTATAATTTCTGTATATGTATTGTTATTTGTGGTATATGTAACGGTATCATTGCCATATATGTATCGAACAGTTTTCTGTAACAACGTTGAAATTTTTCTGGCCTATATGTAACATTAACTTTACATTATGTTATTTACTCTATATGCGATTTTATCATTACCGTATTGGTATCGATATTTCCCGTATGTATAATGTTATCATTGTCATATATGTAGCGTAATCATTGCTATATTGTAGTAGTCACAACGAAATCATTGTCGTATATGTAGCGTAATTATTGCTATATTGTAGTAGTCACAACGAAATCATTGTCATATATGTAGTGTAATCATTGCTATATTGTAGTAGCCACAACGTAATCATTGTCATATATGTAGTGTAATCATTGCTATATTGTAGTAATCACAACGTAATCATTGTCGTATATGTAGCGTAATCATTGCTATATTGTAGTAGTAATCATTGTCAACGTAAATCATTGTCGTATATTGTGTATATGTAGCGTAATCATTGCTATATTGTAGTAGTCACAACGTAATCATTGTAGTATATGTAGCGTAATCATTGCTATATTGTAGTAGTCACAAAGTAATCATTGTCGTATATGTAGCGTAATCATTGCTATATTGTAGTAGTCACAACGAAATCATTGTAGTATATGTAGCGTAATCATTGCTATATTGTAGTAGTCACAAAGTAATCATTGTCGTATATGTAGCGTAATCATTGCTATATTGTAGTAGTCACAAAGTAATCATTGTCGTATATGTAGTGTAATCATTGCTATATTGTAGTAGCCACAACGTAATCATTGTCGTATATATAATATTATTCGCGCAGTGTAAAAGGTTTAGGGTTTTTTTCTTTTCATTTACGGACATTTTGAGGAAAATGCTTGGAATCGCAAAAAGTCAATATATTAAGCGAACATTTTGTGGGCGAAACCCGTACATAATGAAGGAGATATGTGTGGATGTTAAAATTTACATTATGGCAAAAGAGAGCTAGAACTTGATGAAACAGAATTCTCTCAAAAGATTAGCGGAAGCCCGGTAAGTTTGAGTAATATAGCAGAAAGCTCAGTTCAAATTATGGGTATAAACCAAAGAGAATATAGAAGCGATGAAAAATATTAAATATAAAATTACCAGCAATACATTTTTGAAAAAAAATGTTACCAGCGTAGGAAAATTCTTACAAAAATAGATTTTTGAAAAAAAAATATTACCAGAAATAGATTTCCAGAAAAAAAATATTACCAACAATTAAAATTTTGTCAGCATTAAATAACCCATTGAGATTGATATACCGTAAAACTAAATAAACCAAATCAAACTCTTAAAGCATTTTTTCAGGAAAGTAGGTTTCACAAGTCAAGTAATTTTCCAGTATTGATGGGGGGGGATTTCTTTCTTTGCCTTTCGTTTGATGTAACGTGGAACTTCAATATCTCGATTATGTCATTATTTTCAATTTGTGTTATCGATTTTAGTTATTGATTTTGTTTAAAGTTCTCTAGTGATTTGATTTCTGCTATCTGGTATATTTAATGGTTTTGTGATGGTATAGCGCCAGTCCAAAAGATTCAAGTATGATGATATTCGCTATGATCTACAGGTGACATTCCCTTGAAACCACATTTGTCAATCAATATGAGAAAGTGGTTGTATACAACCGACAATTTAGATATTTCTGATCGCGTTTGGCGCCATGCAGTGCATCCATATGAATGTCTCGATCTGACGAATCTATTTAAAAATATGATTCAAGATTTAGTTTATTATTTTGGTTTTGAAATACTTTGTGGTGGTGGGTGAAACTATCCCTAAGATGACGTATTCTAAGATCAGTTTACCTATATCCAATATTAAATTTACTAACAGATCTATAAATTAAGCCTCCGATTATTAAAGAAGTAGAAAGATTACTGTAAGTTATTTCAAATATCGATTTTAAAACAAAAAAGATGATAATACACATTATAGATTATAATAATTATACATTATAATAATTTATACATTATAATACATATTATAAACATTTATATATTATTATTATACATTATAATAATTTATACATTATAATACATATTATATACTTTATATATTATAATTATACATTATAATAATTTATATATTACAATACATATTACATAATTTTATATATTATAATTATACATTACAATAATTTATACATTATAATACATATATAATTTTATATATTATACTTATACATTATAATAATTTATACATTATAATACATAGAAAGAAGCAATAATTTTATTACAGACAATCAGACAATGAGAAAAAACAGACTTCATCAGCTATATTGTAGTGATTAATACGACAAAGCTGATAATAATCGTCAGAATTGGAAAATAGAATTAAACAAAGAAAAAGACACCTCAGACAAGCAAACGATGGGAAAGGCTTAGATGGCCAAGGTTAAGTGTCGTGATCCAAATAACAAATTTGATAATACCCGTCATAGTATTACATGGAGTTCAACCAGATCTACATATAAGACAAGGTGAAAGTATAGAATGTGCCATCGTATATGTCGAGATCAAGTAACGGCATTATTAATAACTGTGATAGTAATACGTGAAATCAAGCCAAAATTACATTTCTGTCCATAAGACAATGAGAAAGGATAGAATTCAACATCTTAACTGTATTGATTAAAAGGACGTAAATGATAATAGACGCCATAGTAATGCATGGAATCAAGCCAAAATTACAGCTCAGTACACAGCCAATAATAAAAACACGAGTGCACCAGCTCCGTTGAATTGTTCAAACAAAAGAGATTATAATACTCGTCATAATAGTACATCGACTTCAGCCAAAATGATATTTCAAACCATCAATAAAAAGGCTACAATAGGTCAGGTCAAATATTAAAATAAAAACAATGAAGTTTCTATATATCATAATAATTATTGTTTTAAGGCTAGAATTACGTATCAGACTCTCAAATAACGAGAATGCATGGAGTGTACCAGTTTCAGATAAATAATCCTAATAACACATAGTGTCTAATAACAGTCAATTAACCTCCTTAATATCATGAATAGACTGATACATTCATGATAAGTAGTCCTAGTTAACTGCCTCGGGAGACGATAACACTATTGTAGTGACATATCAAGGTGAATGTTGAATAATAATATCAAGAGAGACTGTCGTGACTATGTGATGTGATGTGGGTTTTGCCAGACCCACATCACAACACATAGAACCAATCTTCTCACTTGTTCTTGTAACGGCATTCACCCGGGGTGGGTTGAGCCGAATCCAATGATTGGAGTTTCATGGGAATTTGGAATTCACAAGCGGTCCCTAAACCCGCATGTATAGCACATGAGATTTTGATTATAGTGGTGAAGGTTTCGTGCAGGACCATCCACTTTTTGAAGGGCCGATTACAGGTCCCCAAACGATCCTCCGCAGGTTTTGGATTCAGAGGTTTCCTTCTCCTAGACCAGTTGCACTCCAAGGCTATAGAACCCAGTCTGTCCTGCTATTTACCCATAGCTGGAGGGGGAAGAAGAGGATTCACATCTTTCCCAAGGGTATTAGCACGTAAGTGTATGTAATGGATTCGACTGGAATTCGAACTCGGCTCTTCGATTCCTCAATCCAAGCCGATATCCATTACTCCACCGTGCCTTCACATAGAATCAATGCAAAACCACAAGTCAGAATAACAGAAAACGGCAAGATGAAGCATCGGCTGATTTGTATCAATCATAAAAAGGGTTAGTATATAATAGCCTGTCAAGTATTTAAGTGATTAAAACTCAAATTTCTGCTAAACGTATCTGATAATAAGAAAAGTTTAAGAAACAGAGTAAACAAAACTAAAGGATCAACCAAATAAAAGACAAGTGTTTTGGGTTGAACAATTCCTACAGCAAAAGAAAAGTCTATCATACAAGTTCAGCGTGAGAAACCATGGAATAAAATGAAGCATTCAAAATAATAGACAAAAACATTTAACGATTGACTCGGTGTCGGCAGAAAAATGATATTTAAATGATTTTTTGCCAAGAGAAAAAGAAATGTAAATAAGGTCCAGTCGGCTAAATAGGAAAGAAAGTGTTGTCTGTCGATTTCCTTCTGACAATTTTGCCTCTTGGAGAAACTTCAAATTCGTGTCAGCTTTTATCTGTGCTTCACGTACTTCACGTGATGACAATTTATGTGATAGTCGCTATCCAGGAAAGCATTTTGCTCGAGGAATGTAAGTAACGAATTATCCGACTCGGATGTATATTCAAACATTATCATCGGAAGGAACAGAATCTTTGAAAAGAAACGAAAGAGAAAGAAAAAGAGTGAAAGAGACTGCAGAAGAAAAGAAACCGGATATGGTTTCAATGTGACTAGACAGCTCCGTCAAGAAGTCAAAGACGAAATCATTTACAAGATGACAAAAATTTAACCGTAGTTGTCATTTACAAGGCAGGTAAGCCATAATAATTTGATTTCGGTAGTATATACGAAATGTAACTGCAGAATTGTCCAAATCGTGTAAAAGCAAAATTATTCAGTTGTTAGATTAAGCACTGAACCATTGTAACTTGGAAATGATTAAAGAAATCTTACTGAAATTATCCGCGTTCTTTCATAACACTATTGGACTCTTATTAATAAGAATGTATAATTACTCCTTAAGCTTAACAGAAGAATCGTGATGAAATTGAATATTAAGGAAAATGCCATGTTCATCATTAATTATAGCTAAGTACTATATATATATATATATATATATATATATATATATATATTATTCTGGAATCATTTTCTAATTTATTCAAGCTGATCTTCGCCCTCTTTAACCTTTTAACTTTCTGTCCTGGTGTAACAATGTGCCTCACAGGTTTTATGTACGATTTCATTTTCAAGTCTGTTTTTCATTGCTTTCTGGACTGTCATGGCTGACATTCCTCTCCCACGTGCCAAACGTCCTTTAAATTGATTTGTATCTTTTTTTAATTGATCTCATTTACTTAGTTGAAATGATGATCCATCTTGGTGTTGTGAGCTCTGGATCCTGTTTTCCTCTGTACTGTCCCCTCTTTTTTAAAGTTAATCACGGTTTCCTTCATGGATTTTGAGTGTATATTGAAGAAGGCATCCAGCTTATGAATGTTGGTACCATTACTGAAGGCCTGACTGACATTTTCCGCTCAGCATTGTTCAGTGGGTCTGATACAAAACAAAAAAAACCCTGCTCAATTTTAGCTGAATAAAAAGAAGGGATTTTCAATGATTCTTACGAAAAATGGAATTAAGATGGCTAAACGTCTTATGTGAAAACCTGGAAAAAAGAAACACAATCAGTTTAGCGTTTTTATAAGATATTATATATTGTGTAAGATGGATAACTATGCAGTTACACTATTATGACAATTTTGCTGTCATACCCGATTTATATATATATATATATATATATATATATATATTATAATTTTTTCCTATAGACAAAAACAATTTATTCACGACAAAGATATAACTTCGTTTCCGTGCATTTAGTTGCACCTCGACTGATTAGAACGAAAATGGTTATGAACAGTTATAGTCGTAAGCAGGCTGAATGTGGAACATCACTTCCTTTTTTCAATTTGTCTGAAAGAAATAGGTACATTCTGAGAGGGGACGTAGAAGGATAAAGAAAAAATAGGAGAAGCAAAAGTGATATTAGTTTGTTGAAGGATGGTTGACGTGTTTTTTTTTTAATCGACAACAACAGTCAAGACCTTCTGAGAGTGAGGGGTAGGTGAGGAAAGGTGAGAATAAAGGAAATTAAGACGATGAAAGAGGAAATAGGGATAAATTCAAAACATTGGTTATAGTAGTAATTGTAAATGTTTTTGGTAATTTTAAAACGAAGTCAAAAGCTCAATTTCGTATATTTACACTGTTGTAACATTTCTTAAACTGCTACCATTGCTTTAACCAAAAAAATAAAATAAAAAATACTGTATTTAAAATCGGCATGGCACGTGAGTTTAGAACAATCTCTGCCGTGGACTAAATAAAAGGTTCGGTTCGAAATTCAAACCCATATCACCTGATGAAGGTCGGAGCGTACCACGGCCGAAACGCAGTGAATATGGCAATAAAGATGGGGACCAAAATCCGAACAACCTTAAAAATCGTATCTATCGCCATTTATTTCAGTCCTTTCTCATTTCCATTTATTGTAGAAAAGTTCGACATATCAAATTGTTTCGTCTTTTGCTCATTGTTAAAAAAAAAATAAGTAACCATCGATCTGTCTCTTGACATTTTCCTCAGATATATCTCGTTTTTCTAGTCAGCCTAAAAGTCATGACATTCCTTGATACCTGCAGATATAGAAGTGTCTTCTGCATTTCTATCTTGTGAATTGACATTATAAATATATAAAAAGAAGATTCCAATGGAAGAGATTGTAATATGTTACAGGCGGTCAGTATTTATAAAGCTTCACAAGAGCTTTGAGTGTATTGCTGATAATTTTTTACTATTATAAATTTGTGTATGTGATCTTGACAGAGTTATAAATTATTGACAATTGGAAAAAAGATCGTGGAAGTATATTTCGAAAAATAAAAAAAAAACAAACATCCAATATACATTTCGCCTGTTTCTGCTTCATCAGATCGAAGACGAAAAAATGGGTTGCATGTATATGCATTTCTTTGTGTTTAAAATAATGAAATCTTATATTTTTTTCAAAGCTGTACACGCAGAAATGAATGGTTACAAATTACTACTCTGTTGCTTCCTAAATCACTATACAATATGTTTATTGAATTATTTTATACTATATTTCCCCTAAGAAGCAACAAGTACAAGAGCAGGTGGTAGAAATGGATATTATGAGGATAAGGAGGATAGACAACGATTGACCCTTGTTTTAACGTTGTCAATATAGAAGCAGCCAGAGATGCAAACACGTGAGTGTCTATTCCAATAAACGGTAGTTTTTCGGAAATAAAAACAGCAAAGCGTGTGGAGCTTTCTTCCTACATTCGAGGCATGTAGGAAATGGGGATGATTCGACTCCGTGGAAATGTCATGCGATAAACATTAGAGGATAGAAGTAGTGTAAGATTAGTGACAGGCTTGCTAAGTTGCGACTGTTGAATAGTGGTTGCAGTATAGAAATCAAGTCCCCCCCCCCCACCAAACCACTTAAACGATTTTGAGATACGTCAATTCTGGAAAGAGAGGATTGCCCAGTTATGGCTGTGACACGTCATTTATGGTCTAATCTGATTCCTGTAAAGATAAAGCACGGCGGAAATGGTCAAATGTTTATTGAGACGTTAGAATGAGCCGACCATTTCTCTAGCATCTTTGGCAAAAAATTAGATATAAAAATTACACATTCAATTACCACGGTCGCAGCCTATGGGTTCGATTTGGGAAGGGAAGCCAGCTGCATCCAAATTTCTTCTGATGATGATGTTTATAGCTGCATGCCTAGGAAAGCGGCCTACACTACGCCGGCAGGAGAGAGGATGCAAACCAAACTCATCAATGGAAGCTCCACATCTGCATCTGTGATGTTCCAAGCATATAGCTTCATTGGGAGTGAAAGCATCGAGCGTATTATAACACATTTAGTAAAGGAAGTAAAAAAGTGCTAAAAAAAAACGAAGCCACGAACCTGGAAAACTCGTTCTTAAATCGCTTCATCAGATGAAAACTTACATAGAGATATGAAGCATGGCACCAACCCCTTTCATAAACTATGAGCTGTATACAACCGGTTTCTTAAATCAATTGCCAAAGATAGCTTTAAGCGAGTAAATCCTGTAGGTCTTGTGAAAAGCTGTCCTTTTTTCAACCTTGCCGACTCCCGCTACATTATCACGAACAAAGGACTGTACCAGTTATCGTAAAATTTGAAAAACACCTAAAATGGATCTCATATATAACTCGAATAGAAAATCATGACATAATGTCGATATTGAGATTCCCCAATACTTCAGATAAAAGCTTAGGAAAGAAATCGCCGTCAATACTGTAAAAAGCTATAACAGCTGCTGGACTTGTGAAAACTATTTCCCTGAGAAATTGCTTTAAGAGAATGTTTTTTTTATAAATTTCAAACGACAGTCTTCTCGATTAATAAATGACAAATGTTTCCTTATAAAGAAACGGATAATATTTCTATTGCTATATTCATGACGATTAGTTCAAATGGTCTGGTTTGCTTTGTTTGTTTAACAGCATATCAAATCCTTATGGGTTATTGTTGAAACTTGGATAAGCATGGAATAATAATAATACAACACAAAATGTACGTTAACAAAATGTATTGAAACAAGGAAAAGGTACACAATATTTACAGTTAGTTTTGGTATATTCTTGGGAAAACTGTTCCTGTAGAATGGGTTGACTAAATCGCAGTCGGGCAGAGTCTCTGGATTGGATCTCTTCTTACAATCTCCCTTTTCGTCTTCCGGTACCAACCCATATTTATATGGTCGGTACTCCACTTATGTAAATTAGGTGTATCGTACACAACAGTTATTTAATGCCAAATTTTTATTTTATTGCGAGATTTAGTAATTTTATTCAATAGTGTATCGCTGGTAATTTTCTTAATTTTTTTTACTATGTTATATATTTGTGTATATGATCCTGACAGAGTTATAAATTGTTGACAATTGGAAAAAAAATCATTGAAGTATAATGTTTCGAAAAAAAAAAATCCAATATAAATTCCGCCTGTTTCTGCTTCATCAGATCGAAGACGAAATAATGGGTTGCGTGTATATGCATTTCTTTGTGTTTAAAATAATGAAATCTTATATTTTTTCAAAGCTGGCGTTGCTCGTGACTAAAAAAGAGAATGAAAATGAGTGACTTAAAAAAGTCGTTTATGTTTTTTTTTGCTTTAAATGTCAGAGTTTAGAGACAGAAATCCTTCAGAATGGGTAGAAAATAAATGAAAGATTTGTTTTATCATTTTTTTATCCACGCGTTCTTGTCGACAGTATGTTATCAATTTGTGTATATTATCCCGACAGAAGTTATAAATTATTAACAATTGGAAAAACCTTCATGGAAGTATAATGTTTCGAAAAAAAAAAAATCTCACTATGCATTTCGCCGATAAGCCTTCATCAGATCGAAGCCAAAAAACGCCAGCTTGGAAAAAATAAAAGATTTCATTATTTTAAACACGCACAAAACACGTATGGAATTCATTTTTTCGTCTTCCATCTGATGAAGGCTAATCAACGAAATACATAGTCGGATCTTTTTCAAAATATTATACTTTCATGAAAATTTTTCCAATTGTCAATATTTTTTTTTTACAATGAAAATATATTACTGGCCATTTTTTCTAATGTATTTTTATATTTTAATTTTTTGACCCCAGTTTGGCTGTTCACTATTTGTCAATAGCTGGGACCCTAACAAGTGCTACCAACCTCAGTCAGAGTGGACTTGGGAACAAATGCAATGAACAGGTGATACAACGCTTCCCAAAGCCTCTTGGCCTTTATGCCGGACGTAATTTTTACGTCATACAGAGGACGACAGGCCGAATGAACTGATGTTTCTATTTTTCTCATGTTTGTAGATTTTAAGAATAAAATTCAAAACATAGAAGAACGAGCTACGAAACCTGTACGAATTATTTTTATTCCTTATATCAAAAGTTCTTGTAACGACTTTTCAATTTCTTCTAAAAAACAAAGAGTACTTTAAACTAATCACTGTCCCGAATGCGATTATTTATTTTTTATCTATTTCCCCCTTAAAGAACAAGACAACCATAATTCATGTTAAATCTAATAAAAGGATACAGCAGTCGGTATTGTTTTATATTGTCCGCCATGTTATCGAATGTCTTGACATCATGTTCGTCACTCAAATAGCTGAATATAATTGAAAACATGATTTATAGGAAACATCATAAAATTCTAACCTTGGCAATATATTGTAGACTTTCTGCACTGAGGCCAAATAATATGCTATGAACGATAGACAATTGGCTAGCGAAATTTTATTCAATAAAATCTCAATGAATTTCCTGACGTTAGATTTTATTATAAATGTCAATAAAATGACGCCAAAAATGCTAGCGAATTTCTGCGCAGAGGGTCTATGAAAAAATTAGGAAAAAAATGATGCAGGCACATCATTTAATATAATGTATTAATACTCTAGTTAAGGTTAAATATAAATATTAAAAATAAGATTTATGAAAAAGCAATTATAAAACCTTTATTTCCGTGAGAAACTTGTAATAAAAAATATATATAATTGCTAAATGGTAAAGGAGAATGTGCAGATATGAAATAAAAGTATGAGACTTTTTTTAATTGTGAAAAACAGATAATTCACCAATTTTACTAATCTGAGGCTCTCTCTGGATCAGCATCGCTTCGCCTGTCTACTATCTGCTTCACAACCGAGTAGTGGCGGCTGGCTCAACGCAGTGCCCACTTCATCCACCGGTACACTTCTAGATGATGAGTGCACTCGGGTCGAAGTCACGATCTGTCTTGGGCTCAAATTATGTGAGCGTCACAGATGCAGATGTAGAGCTTCCATTGATGGGTTTGATTTGCATCCTCTCTCCTGTAGGCGTAGTGTAGGCTGCTTTCCTAGGCATGCAGAAATAAACGCTATCATCAGAAGATGCCTGGATGCAGCTGGGTTGCCTTCCCAAATCGAACCTGTAGGTTGCAACCGTGGAAATAGAAAGCGGTCGGATGAGATTACCATTTTACCTTTAAAAATGGGGAAGTCGTTGATTTGGGATACGACCTGTGCCGATACATGTTCGACCGGTAATTTGATCAGGTCCGTGGTTGAGCCAGCGTCTATCGCCCGGGATGCAGAGATAAAAAAATAGTTAAATATTCTTCTCTTGCTGATAGATTTTTTTTTTACTCCTGTGACAGTGAAGACTTCTGGGGCCCTCGTTCGATGGATTTCTTTCGGAGTGTTGGCGGGTTGACATCTCGATTAAGGGACGATTCTCGCGAAACGGAGTGGCTCTTGCAGCGTGTCTCACTGGCGATGGTGCAAGGAAATGTTTTCTCCATCATTGTGGCTGACAGAGGATAGCAAAAAAAAAAAAGTTATTTCGTTTATAGTTACTTTGTTCAAACTTTTTTCAATGAATTTTACATATATTTTTAATCATCTCACGCAAGCAAAGTAATAGGAGGGGGTTAATCAGAGTGAAAAAAACCTGAAGAAAAAACAGGAGTGTAGAGAGTGGACAACAAAAGAAGAGGGTTCAAGTAAACAGATGACGATTTACATTTCATTTAAATTTTAAATCTAAATATTTAAGTGATTTATATTCGGCCTATGAAGTAAGATGATTCTGGGAGAATTAGATGTCTTACCAGAATTCCTTCTTGGCAACCACAATTTTCACTACCTAAAATATGCAGATGTTAGGGTTCGCAGTAGACACAGAAAGAAAACCTCAAGAACTCCTACAGAGGTTAGTGAAGGAAAACGAGAAAAAAGGACTAACCATCAATAGGAATAGGCGAGAATACATATTTGTCGTCAAAAGGAACAGCCCAACATTCAAATTAAAAATTGGTAATATCAGAACCAAGCAAGTACATTTTAAATATCTGGGAAATGTTTTAACAGAAGAGGCAAAGTGATATCCGAAGGCACACTGCGATAGCGAAAGATGCCTTCCAAAATCTAAGCGAAATATTAAGAAACAGTAAAAAAAATTCGTTAGAAACTGTGGTGAACAGCCCCGTAGAAGCAAGCGAGCCAGAGTGGAAATAAGGGTCTTACCTTAACGGGCAGCAGGTGACATCATCAAGTTTGCGTCGTGAAAATGGCATTACTCTCCCGTCCAGCCATTCTAGCAGTATGTGCAGTGATGAGGGCTTTTTGCACAGTTTGGTATGCTTCCATCAATAGCAAGTCGTGTGCTGATTTGTCGAACTGGAGGAGGCAATTTGCCTGTGTAACCGAGAATAACAGCGAAGAACGCTGATTGATCGGTGAACCGCGGTGTTGGCCTGTTGGCCTGATAAAAGAGTGTTGGAGCAGTAAAGAAGGGGAGAGAAACGTTGGCTATACGTAGTGACGTGTGAAGAAAGCGAGTACGGTGAATTGAACCAGCGATATTGTGATTTGTACAAGTGACGTTGCAGCAATACAGACTTATTTAAACTACAGGAACAAAAAAAAGTGAATTGATCTGTTATGTGACAACACTTCTCCTATATGGCACTGAATGCTGGACAATCTGTTCACGAATGATGAAGAGACTTGAAGACACTTAAGTTTGCTTCTACAGAAGAATACTGAGAATAGGAGAACGACGAGGTTTTAGGGAAAAAATGGGAACAAAAAGCTCTCTTATGCTTAACATCACAAAGAGACAGTTAAAATGTCAAGGTCACATAAAGAGGAAAGCGGTGTTGGGAAAATTGATATTCACGACAGATTGAAGGTCAGAGGGACAGATGAAAAGAAAACATAACCTACTTAGGGAATTAAAGTAAATAGATGGCGGAACAAGGTTTAGGAAAGGTAACTAAAAATTTGTGTATGTATAGCTGGCCACTCGTATTCTAGGATACCTGTCTACTAGGGTAGCTAGCCAATCCCTATTGCAGACGCTTGCTCAGGCGCATTTGTGTTTATTCAAAACTCACAGAACCCACCTGAGGTTTATATTGCAACTATGGTGAGTAGACCTTAGTTACAGTTTCTGGGAAAGAACGTGTTATCAAGCGGGGTCAACAATTTGAACACGGACAGAACACTCAATCCCTCGGTCACGATGACTTCCGTCTATACAGTTTCACTCACGAGGCTTGGGTCAACCCGTGGTATCGTTTTCAGGCAAGTTCCAAAGGTGCCGCACGCTGGAATCGACCCTTTCAGTCCGATAAATATCAGGAAATCTCCTTCCTAACAAATCAACCATGGTGAGATTCGAACCCGCGTCTCATGGTCAGAATGCGAACGTTCTAACCACTCGGCTAAAAGACCGAAATGAGAAATGTATTAAAAATTGCAAATGACCGAAAATTGTGGAGAGTCATGATTGTCAACGTCCTGAAGGGACAAGACACATAGAAATGACAATGTATGACACCAAACTCTGATTTTCTCCTATAACATTCGAGCTCGATCGTAACACTTCAGTTTTGAGTCCTGTTCTCTTGTTTTGTTTGTTTCTGTTGTCATCTCGAGATGGCCTAGAATTAGAAAGGCTCTAGTTAGAGTATCGAAGGAACAGAAGACTAGGTAGGGAAAACAAAAAAAAGAAGCGGTTTATTACATACTCATACATAGACATGGATAGTGGCTCGATTTGAGGAATCGGAGAGCCGAGTTCGAATTCCACTCGAATCTATTGCATTCACTTACGTGCTAATACCATTGGGAAAGGTATGAATCCTCTTCTTTTCCCCTCATCTATGGATAAATAGCAGGATAGACTGGGTTCTATATTGGATGGATATTGGTCTACCGCAGATAGAAATGTCAACCTACTGCGGGAACAAATTCTATCTCGTCAGTCATATATCGAAAGATACATGATCACCTACGCGTGTATCACGCACGGTACAAAATTGACTGACATAGAACGGAAAAAAAAACTTGAGTAAATCAACTACTCCTCGAATTCTACTCTAATGTGGCTACTTGCTATATTTATAAGTAGGAACATATACGCTGCTGAAACCTACTGTACAACAGTTTGTTTTTTTACACACATGAACTGATGTCCAAGAGATACAAGAATGGGTTTTGAAATCAAATCCTGCCGGATTCAGGATATGTGTAATCAAAAGTCTCCACAGCTTCCCGTAGCTCTAAGCAATATTTGCTTTTCACAAACTCGTTAGTAAGTTACTAACTGTAACCCTATCTTGCATTCAGTATGTCACGTGAGTGTTACATTCTTCAAGCCCCTATTCTGTATTACGAGAACCCACAAATTGAACATTTCTCTTTATGATTGTATGCATAAATATCCTTTCATTATCATTTTCATTAAACTTTTCTCCTTTTTCAAATGCTACAATAATGGTATTCTTAGCATCTTTCTGTAGATCCACATCCGTATTGCTTCAAAACTCTTCTTCATCCGTGGGTCAATCTTCCAGCATTCACTGCAATATTAGTGGATAGATATGGCGCATCAGTTCAACACTCCTTTTTGTTTCTAACAACTTTTTCCCATGTCTTAATACTGTGCTTAATTTCCATAATATATCTTTCGTTTTCCAATATACTTCGAATTTTTGTGTCATATTTTCCTCATCTATGGCGACAGCCGAGTTTGAATTCCAGTCGAATCGATTACATTCACTTACGTTCTAACATTCTTGGGAAAGGTATGAATCCTCTTCTTCTCCCTCCAGATATGGGTAAATAGCAAGACAGGCCGGGTTCTATAGCTTTGGATGGCAACTGGACTACCGCAGAAAGAAATGGCAACCTAATGCAAGAAAAAATATGACTCGTCAGTCATGTATCGAAAGATTCATGATCGCCTAAGCGTGTATCCCGCATGGCACATAACTGACTGATGGCGACACTAAACAAATTCTGACGTCTCCCATCACAAATTGGAATGTCCCTTTTTTTCTATCAACAATTCATCTTGTACTATATTTCTGAATTAACCATCACTATAATGCCATCGGCATATCTATTGTTAAGCTTTTGTCTATCAATAATAAATTCTTTTACGATTCTAGTTCTCTTTGTATTGCCTCTCTGTATTTTTGGAATAAATCCGGAGAGAAGACATATCATTGTCTTAAATTCCTTACTATTTTCGTGTACTCGTTTAACCCATTCTTTATCCGCGTGCAAGCGATTACTTCCCAGTAAATGTTTCAAATTATTCTAATATATTTATCGAATAAATATATCTAGTCCTTTTGCCTTTTCTATAATTATTTTCATGTTAATTGTTAGGATGATATCTTTGCTTTGGCGCCTGGACTTGAATTGAAGCGCAGTAATAGGTTGGCAACGCAGACCCACTAGTTTAAGAATTTGGGTTGGCTATATGCAAGCGTAAATTCTATGCTAAAAGTTTCTTTTCTCGCACTTCTTGCTTGTGGAACTCCATTTCGACTCCATGCTTTCCAGCCAAGTTTAATCTACAGGAATTTGAATGCAATGTAAATCGCTATCTACTGTCCTTGTTACTCTTATTTTACGCAATGTTTCCGTTTTGTTTCACTATTTCTCCCCTAAGCAGTAACCCCTTGTGTCTCAGTGGCTTTACTGCCTTGCATGTAGCGAATTCGATAAAATAAAGTTCAAACATATTAATTTGTAATAATATCTTCAAATGCTTTTGCTTAGTTTATTAAACACAGATAAAATTCTGGGCATTTGTATTACTCGCATTCGGAACAC